CTGTTACCATTTAACAGCGCACCGCCAGTTGCTGAAACCTTATTGGGTAAGAACAAATGCAAAATATTATTTCCACTTGGTCGCTCTTTAGTCCCTCTGAAATTGTGAGTGGATTGATGTAATTCGTTTACCCAAAAATTTAATATTGCATATAAAGCCTCATGCCACATAATTAAAAACGAAACCTTATTTCCTGATGAATAGCTTTTGTGCTATAATGTATCTTAAACAGAAAACTATATTTGGAAGGATTTTTCCTCCAAAAGCATTTCATTTTTTAAAAATCCTATTTACAGAATGTTATAGCCAATGTTCATCTCTTATTATTAATTCTTCTTTGCTTTGTTATTTTTATTTTCTTTATCTTTTCTCTTTTATATTTTTGTGTTTAATTTTGCTGTAACTATTTGTAATGTATATGTAAGATGATATTTTAAATCAAATCAATTTTTAAAAATCATTGATTTTTATCCACCCTGCCTCCCTGCTTCTTTTGTCTCCCTCACAGGTGGCAGAACCACCATGGAGATGTCAATTAGGCCTTCTTATTGTGATGGAGTGGAAACAGTTCCTTCACAGTCACTTGATCAGGTAGGAGATGGAATCACCAGAGAACTGAGCCAGGCACAACCCAGGCGACTCCTCTGCAGCTCTCCGTGGTCCTGAAATAACCTGCCTTCTCCCTATCACTTGTGTTTAAGATGCCCCCCATCTTGAAGGCTCTGAACACCACAAGGAAAGCTCTGGGTTTTGCAGCAGAGCCTCCAGTTTCTGCAGTCTTTTTTCTTCTCTTTTTTCGGATTGCTGCCTTAGCTGTGCATAGTAACTGTTTTTAAGGACCATGAATCATCGCAGTTCAGAGGTCCCAGGCCCTAAGGAAGTCAGATTATCCTCCACCAGGGCCAGGGCCTTCTCAGTGATGGCTCCGACCTGTGGAATGCTCTGTCCCATGAGACCAGGGCCCTGCAGGATTTAACTTCCTTCCGCAGGGCCTGTAAGACAGAGCTATTCTGCCTGGCTTTCAATCTGAATTTAGCCTGATCTTTTATTCCCCTTCCTTTCCTCCCCCTTCTTTTTTATAAAGATTACCCGCTCTAGGATCCCACAGCTAAATCTCCCCTGGTCTCCTCGCTGGCCCGAATAGGACTAACTTAGCCAGCTAGCCCTGGTGATCATCTAATGTTTATTGGATGGATTTTCCCCTTAAATTGAATTTTGAATTCTGAATTTATTGTGATTCACATTTTATACTGTATTTTATGCTGTATTTTGTTGCATCAATTAAGTGTTTTAGATTTGTTGTTAGCCGCCCTGAGCCCAGTTTTCTGAACCAGGAAGGGCGGGGTATAAATAAAAATTTATTATTATTATTATTATTATTCCAGGACCCAGTGCCCTTTGAGGCGGTGGCTGTGCATTTCACGGAGGAGGAGTGGGCTCTGTTGGATCCGAGCCAGAGGGCTCTGCACAGAGAAGTCATGGAGGAGAACTACTGGAACCTGGCTTCTCTGGGTAAGGTTCCCTCTTTGGCCTTCCCTGATAGGTCCGGGATGCAGGAATTGCTGCAGCTCTTCATCTGTATTCATGCCCATCTGTCCAGGAAAGCTCATAGCTCAACAGTAGCCATTTCCAGTACAGTGGTACCTCAGGTTACATACACTTCAGGTTACATATGCTTCAGGTTACAGACTCCGCTAACCCAGAAATAGTGCTTCAGGTTAAGAACTTTGCTTCAGGATGAGAACAGAAATTGTGCTCCGGCGGCGCGGCAGCAGCAGGAGGCCCCATTAGCTAAAGTGGTGCTTCAGGTTAAGAAAAGTTCCAGGTTAAGTACGGACCTCCGGAACGAATTAAGTACTTAACCCGAGGTACCACTGTAAGTTTAGATAGCACTGAGCTGGACTGTACCAATGGTCTGACCAGGTGTGCATAAATGAGGTAGCTTTCCTTGCTCAGTGGAAAAGTATCTGCCTCATGAGACCAGGGCCCTGCAGGATCTGATTTCTTTCCACAGGGCTTGTAAGACAGAGTTGTTCCGCCTGTCCTTTGGCTTGGAATCAACTTGACCCCCTTCCCCTCTTTCCTTTTTCCTTTCTCCTTCTGTGTTGGAGCTCCTATTTGGGGACATCCCTGGCTTTTTTCTGGCCCACGTAGGACCAGTCTGGATAGCTGGCCTTGATGAAGACTTGACGTTTTTATCCCCAAAAAAGTTTTTGATTGAGTTTCCACTGAAATGAGGCTGCATTTTAATGTTTTAATGTTGTATTTTAATCTTGTTTTTTAAGTTGTATTTCAATCAATTGTTTTTATATTTGGTGTTAGCCGCCCTGAGCCCGGTCTTGGCTGGGGAGGGCGGGGTATAAATAAAAAAAATTATTATTATATTAGTGGGAAAGTATCTGCTCTCAGAGGGACGCGGGTGGCGCTGTGGGTTAAACCACTGAGCCTAGGACTTGCCGATCAGAAGGTTGGCGGTTCAAATCCCTGCAACGGGGTGAGCTCCCGTTGCTCGTTGAACTGCCAACCTAGCAGTTCAAAAGCACATCAAAGTGCAAGTAGATAAGTAGGTCCAGCGGGAAGGTAAACGGCGTTTCCGTGCGCTGCTCTGGTTCGCCAGAAGCGGCTTAGTCATGATGGCCATGTGACCCGGAAGCTGTACACCGGCTCCCTTGGCCTATAGAGCGAGATGAGTGTGCAACCCCAGACTCAGCCACGACTGGACCTAATGGTCAGGGGTCCCTTTACCTTTACCTTTATCTGCTCTCAGGGTCAGAGCGTAGTGCTGATAACACCAAGGTTGCAGGTTTGATTCCCATATAGGGCAGCTGCATATTCCTGCGTTGCAGGGGGGTTGGACTAGATGATCCTCAGGTTCCCTTCCAACTCTCAAAGTAGGTGTGAGAATACCCAGCAGTGTTCCTCATACCTTCTCTATGTACTTCATCACATCAATTTCCAGTTAATACTAGTCAACAGGAGCTACGTAATAGTTCATTTCATTTCACTTTTAATTTGTGTACTGCTTTTCTATACAGTGGGTGCTCGGGTTGCAAACATGATCCGTGCGGAATGCACATTCGCAACCCGCCGTGTTCGCAACCTGCAGCGGCGCGTCTGCGCATGCGCAGGTTGCGATTCGGTGCTTCTGCACATGTGCAAAGTGCAATTTAGAGCTTCTGCACATGTGCGGCCACCGAACCCCAGAAGTAACCCGTTCAGGTACTTCCGGGTTTCGGCGGGTCCGTAACCCGAAAAAACACAACCTGAAGCATCTGTAACCCGAGGTATGACTGTATTACTATATCCAAGGTGGCTTACAAGCAAACAACAAAACAGACAGCGAAGATCACACATGTAATAACAATCTAATCCGATACAAAAAAAGTCACAATAACCTTGAAATGAACAACTTATATCAAATAAAGCAATATTCAATCATCCATTAGAATGTCACAGTAAACAGTGAAGGTAAAGGTAAAGGTACCCCTGCCCGTACGGGCCAGTCTTGACAGACTCTGGGGTTGTGCGCCCATCTCACTCAAGAGGCCGGGGGCCAGCGCTGTCCGCAGACACTTCTGGGTCACGTGGCCAGCGTGACAAAGCTGCATCTGGTGAGCCAGCGCAGCACACGGAAACGCCGTTTACCTTCCCGCCAGTAAGCGGTCCCTATTTATCTACTTGCACCTGGGGGTGCTTTCGAACTGCTAGGTTGGCAGGCGCTGGGACCGAACGACGGGAGCACACCCCGCCGCGGGGATTCGAACCGCCGACCTTTCGATCGGCAAGTCCTAGGCGCTGAGGCTTTAACCCACAGCGCCACCCGCGTCCAAAAACAGTGAAGTTAAATGTCAGCAAATAAAAATTAAACAGTTTACACTTATCAGTTACAATAAAATAAAAATTCCTTCCTGTAGGTGCTACTGGAAGGAATTTCTTTATTTTGTTTCGACTACGGCAGACCAACATGGCTACCTACCTGTAACAACAATTACAATAAAGAATTGCTAAACTATAATCAATGAAAATAATGGCAAGCCAGTGCATAAAATACCTCAAAATATACAACACCATGTAAAAGGACCAAATTGAGAAACAAGGACACACAACTTATAAAATTATTTTTTTAATATCCCTGAACTCCTCTCTTGTCAGCTGCTTCTGCTGTGCTCAAAGTCATGGCTTAGGGCTGGAGGGTGGGGGCAAGGCAGTGGGGGGGACCATTTTCTGATGGACAGCAGAAAGCTTAATACAGTCGTACCTTGGTACTCGAACAGCTTAGCTCCCAAACAAATCGGCTCCTGAACACCGCAAACCCAGAAGTAAGTGTTCTGGTTTGCAAATGTTTTTCGGAAGCCGAACTTCTGATGCAGCTTCCGTTTGAGTGCAGGAAGCTCCTGCAGCCAATCGGAAGCCGCACCTTGGTTTTCGAATGGTTTCGGGAGTCGAACGGACTCCCGGCATGGATTAAGTTTGAGAACCAAGATATCACTGTATATGGTACTTGTATTCACTTAATATATTGCTTCTTGTATTCTCTGATCTGAGAATCTGTTCCACCCTGATCAGGCCCCCTTCTTTGTTATTTCAGGTTATGGAAGTTGGAGCGAGAAGGAGCCTGAACAGCAGAGGAGGAAACCTGAGACAAGACAGAAGCTAAGGGGAAAATCTTTCATCTCTGAAGACGCAGACGTGTGTGAAATCCCAAAGCTAAAAGATGAATGCGACACAGCGAAAAACACAAGGAACGCCTCCCCTCAACACGCAACGATTGCAAGCGAGATACTGAGTCTTAGCGCATCTCAAAGAGTGCAAATAGCGGAGCAGCCATACAAATGCTCAGTGTGCGGGAAGAGCTTCAGTCAGAGCAGCCGCCTTACTGATCATCAGAGAATCCACACAGGGGAGAAACCATTTAAATGTTTCTCTCCTGAAAAGGGTTTCTGCGACAGCGAGGACCTTCTTTATCATCAAACATTCCAAACCGACGAGAAGCCGTATAGATGTTTGGAGTGTGGAAAGAGCTTCAAGCGGAAGACACACGTCACAGACCATCAGAGGACCCACACGGGAGAAAAACCGTTTTCGTGCTCGGAGTGCGGGAAGAGCTTCAGTCATAGCACCGGCCTTACTTATCACCGAAGAACCCACACGGGCGAGAAACCATACAAATGCTCGGAGTGCGGGAAGAACTTCAATTGTAGCCAAACCCTTGCTTTGCACCACAGAATCCACACTGGGGAGAAACCGTACAAATGTCCCGAGTGCGGGAAGAGCTTCAGCCAGAAGATACACGTGATAAATCATCAAAGAACCCACACGGGCGAAAAACCATTTACATGCTCCGAGTGCGGAAAGAGCTTCACCTACAGCACCGGTCTTACCCACCATCAAAGAACCCACACAGGCGAGAGACCCTATAAATGCTCTGAGTGTGGGAAAAGCTTCAGTTGCAGCCAAACCCTCGCTATACACCTCAGAATCCACACCGGAGAGAAACCGTACAAATGCCCGGAGTGCGGGAAAAGCTTCAGCCAGAAGATTCACGTTACGAGCCACCAAAGAACCCACACGGGAGAGAAGCCGTATGAATGTTCCAAGTGTGGCAAGAGCTTCAGTCAGTGGACAACCCTTACTAGACACGAAAGAATACACACAGGGGAGAAGCCATACAAATGCTCAGAGTGTGAAAGGACCTTCAGTCACAGCAATAGCCTTACTTATCATCAGAGAACCCACAATGAAGTGAAACCGTCCGTTGCTCTGGTTGCTTTTGCCTCTGGCCCCAGGACACCCCTGCCGGAAGGCTGCCCTGGAGGGGATATGACCCTCTGGCTGGAAAACATGTCCCACCCCTGACGCAAATGCTCGAAACGTGTGGAAGGATCTCCACTCAAGAGCACCGGCTTCTTGTACCATAGAATCCACTGAAGTGTAGGAGCCATTTGAAAACCGGGTGGAAATGGTTCTTTCCCAAAGTAAAGAATTCACTACAAAACAGACGGATGTTTTGGATCCTAGAAATGTTTGCAGTTGAGAAGGGACTTGAGAGGGGTTGCCCAAATTTCATTTCAGATGATTCACATCCAAACAACATCATATATATATATATATATATATATGCAGGTTTTGGTGTCCTCGGGTGTCTTCCCGTGTAAAAGTTGGGGTGTCTAGGCGACGTTTCGACGAGGTCTCACTCGTCATCTTCAGACGTCGCCTAGACACCCCAACTTTTACACGGGAAGACACCCGAGGACACCAAAAACCTGCATTCCTGTACCCGTGAAAATCTACGAAAGCAAATATATATATATATATATATATGCCATCATCCTCTACCATCTTCCCTCTAGAAGAGTCCCAGGAGAAAGGGAGGGAGGAGAAGACCTCAGGACCAGCTTCTTCTGCATTTGATGGACCCCAGGGAAGGATCCTGGTGACTTACGATATGTTTACAGTGATACCTCGGGTTAAGAACTTAATTTGTTCTGGAGGTCCATTCTTAACCTGAAACTGTTAACCTGAATCACCACTTTAGCTAATGGGGCCTCCCGTTGCCGCCGTGCCACCACCGCACGATTTCTGTTCTCATCCTGAGGCAAATTCTTAACCCGAGGTACTATTTCTGGGTTAGCGGAGTCTGTAACCTGAAGCGTCTGTAACCCGAGGTACCACTGTATATATTGTTTGCTGCGGGTTTTCTTTTTTAAAATGTATTCTGATGTTATTTGTAAGCTGCCTTGCATACAGAGAGATACAGCGTATAAATAACTGTAGTAATAAGTGAATTAGACTAGAGGTTTTTCCTAACTAAACAGGCCCTGCTAACAACAAAGAATCTACACATGCAAATTCCCTAAAATGTCGGAATATTTCGTCATAGCATCAAAGTTTATTGGTGGACGGAATGCATCTGGGTGGTAAGCGAAGGGCAGTTTACGCAGAGAAGAAGAGCAGGATTGAAACTGAATAAATAATTTGTGTACAGGTTCTCTCGAGGTTACCTCTGTTGAATAAACTTAATCACCTGTGGTGGATGGAGCCCTTCCACCACAAGGATAATCCGTCCTGGGCAAAGAAAAGAAACTTTGTCAATCTACGGACTGTCATTGAGTTGACTCCCATCCAACAGTGTTTGAACTTCTAACACGTTGTTTTGCTCGGGGCACTCCTGGCATTTTTTGTGTACCTGTTTGCAGATAAATACAGAGCGTGGAGAGAGATCAGATGGGCATCTGGTCCAATGGACAATTGCCACAACACCAGACCCAGCAAAGCTGCTCCTCTTGTAGGACACTGTGTTTTGTGTTCTAGTCTCCAGCTATGTTTTGGTTTGGCAAAGATTCTTTCAGCTGTTGAAAGCTTACTGAGCAAGCATCTTCAGTGAGTTTTAGGGACTGCAGCTGTTGTTGGTGAGCCTTCCAATTGTACAGGAGAAACGGGCCTCTTCAATATACACCCTTTGGAGAACCATATACATTTCTGGTCCCTGCATCTCCAAGAGGACATCAGAGGTTTTGGGGGATGCATCCCAAGATCTTGGAATCAGCCCAAGATAATGGAAGTGAGTGTGATCTCTCAGCCTATTTTGACTCATGGTACAGCGATCACCCCATCGGTCTCACAGATCTCCTAGTTTAAACATAATAGTGGGTTGTAGTTTGACTCATGTATGTATGCATTCTTGGAGATGGGGCCAAATGCTTAAAATTGGTATATGCTCATACTGTGTATATAGGAAAGTTGAAGATTTTACTTAGAAGGTAACAGTGAGGCCAATACTTAAAATCCAGGGCCACGTAGCAAATTTTGGTGCTGCCTTCCATCATATATATATATATATATATATGTATTTATAAATTGAGGGCTCATCTCGTTCGCTGGAGAAATCCTTTGTATCTGTCTGTATGCCTAAGATCCTCACTGTGGAAACGGAATAAGGAAATAAGTACTGAACCTCTCGCGTCAGTAAGCAGTGCTCTTCAGCCTTTGATGACAACTCCCATCATCTCTGACCAAGATAGCTGGGGATGGTGGGAGTTGTAGAACAGCATCTAGGGTCCCAAGCTTGAAAAGAGATTGGGGGCAATAGGGCTTGCAACATGGAAGGCAAACTCTAAAACCACTTCTGGGGGTGGGGGAAGGTTTTGGTCTGAGCCCAAGGTCGCATCAACACGATATATTGGCTCAAGATATACGCTGGTGGTTCCCAATTAGAGAAGTGCGGTGGACCCCCTGTTTTTCAAAAGCCAGCCACGGACCTCCTGCTTTTTAAAATGTTGGCATTTTTGTGGTAGTTTTCGTTATGTGAATGGTGGCCACCATACCCTCCAACATTTCCCCATGCAAAACTGGGGTGTACATCTTCCAACCAGGCACCTGATCTTGGATTGGGGATGGACAGACACCATTTTGGGTTACGCAGACCAGCAATTGGGAGCCACACATATACACTATAAAAGGTAAAGGTACCCCTGCCCGTACGGGCCAGTCTTGGCAGACTCTAGGGTTGTGCGCCCATTTCACTCAAGAGGCCGGGGGCCAGCGCTGTCCGGAGACACTTCCGGGTCATGTGGCCAGCGTGACATCGCTGCTTCTGGCAAGCCAGAGCCGCACACGGAAACGCCGTTTACCTTCCCGCTAGTAAGCGGTCCCTATTTATCTACTTGCACCCGGAGGTGCTTTCGAACTGCTAGGTTGGCAGGCGCTGGGACCGAACAACGGGAGCGCACCCCGCCGCGGGGATTCGAACCGCCGACCTTTCAATCGGCAAGCCCTAGGCGCTGAGGCTTTTACCCACAGCGCCACCCGCGTCCCTATACATGATCTCAATTATTCTTGAACGGTTTGAACTGTTGTTTTTAAACTTGGTTTAAAAATGGTATTATTGTGGTTTTATTATTTTCATATGAGGGGTTCTTTTTAGATGTTAATGAAATAAAGACACATTTAAAGCGTATTATTCCACTTCAACAGCCATGTTCTCCCCCAAGAATCTTGGCTACTGTCGTTGTCCCCTCCAGAGACTACAATTCCCGTACCCATAACAAACTAGACTTCCCAGGATTCTTTGGGGGAAGTTCTGTGCTTTAAATCTTCACTATGATGTGACTGCAGTTTACCCTTTGGGGCTTCTAATAAATGAGTTAGCCTCATTTGGGCAGCTAGACGTGCAACAGACTGTAAAACTGGCCCAGGAGGGGGGTGGAAGGGTTGTTGAGAAAAAGAAGCCCAGAGAACCAAATAGAGCTGTCCCTGCCCCTACTCACAAGCAAGTTCATGTCTTTTGCTCTGTATGTGGATCTATGGGGTTCCACTGCCTGATGTGTGCAGGTGTGGCTGTATGAAATAAAGAAATAGTCCGTTACCACTACTTGTGTGTATGAATCCCTGGGTGTGCTTGCCAAGGAGGGGCACTGGACTTCATTTCTTATTAACCGTAACAATAGGGAGGGCCCTGCTGTTGGCATACAACCAAGGAAGCGGGGCAATTGGCAGGTCCCCATCTGGCTCCATCCCACCCCGGCGTGTACCGGATGAACTCCAGTCCTTGGTGCCGCATGATCCAGCAACCCAAACTTCAAAAGCTAGGGCCACGCTCTATTTTTTTAAAAAAAATATTTTTATTAAAATTTTCCAAATTTATATAACAAACAAAACAAAACAAAAGAACAAACAAAAACATGTATAATTTCAAACCCTTATTTTCATGTAACTTACTTCCCGACTTCCTCAATACCTCCCCTTTCTGTGTTCTAATTTCCAATTGTTAATTCAGCAAATCCTCTCCCTTATTTTCCGTTTAGATTTTTTAACCTTTCATTTCTATACTTAACCATTACCACTGTAAACCACATATTTTCTAATCCAGCATCATTCTAACATTCATTAATTTTACAATGTTTCTTAAGATAGTCCTAAATTTCTTCCAATCTTCTTCTGCTGTCTCTCTTCCCTGGTCTTGGGTTCTGCTGGTCATTTCTGCCAGGGCACGCTCTAATCAGTAGAGATAATGCTACGCAACAGAAAGTGCCGGAGAGTATGTGTGAGCATTTTACAGAGCAGTTTTATTCAGCATCAGGGACAAAAGGAAAACATGTCTGATCCCTTTCATGTCCAAAGCAAGCCGGCATAAGCAATAGCTATACACAAACGGAAGTTCCCAGCAGCTGTGCTGGAGTGTAAACGGACATTGTGACACACAACAGTCTCATGCCTGCCCCCTTAAGGTGAACGGAATATCCCCAACACCTGCCACTTCCTTTTTGCTGCTTCCTGACTCTGGAATTAATATCTTAGTCAAGCTTGGGGGTGTCAGTGGTGCCCCTGTTGAAGAGCAAATATGGAAGGCCAAAGCTAAGATGTGTTGGGAAGGGGGGAAATGAACAATTGATGGGGGGGGGGATTTTTTATTATCCACTCAATGTACTGATCACCTGACACATTAAAAAAATATATCCAAGTGACTTACAGAATTTGAAAGCATAAGATCTGAAAAGCATTACAATAAAAAAGTAACGTGAAGCCCAGTGAAAGAGCAACAAAAATACCATAAGTAGACAAATCATCCTAGTCCATCAAATGCCAAAATACAGAAAAGTCTTGCCAGGCACTAAAATGGTGCCAGGTGGACTTCACTGGGAGCATTCTGCAAGTGAGGGAGCCACAACCGAAAAGGGCCCTGTGGCTTGTCACAAACCTCAGCAGAAGCAACTGAAGGACAAGCTCATGCAACTACTGAAAGGTCCTGTTAGGTGCAAGTAATCCAGACCATGAAGAGAGGATCACAGCATCCGATGGGAGTCACCCGTGAAGGCCTCACAAATATTTGGGTGGAATGATTATTCACACATTCATATAGGTAATTTGACTGGTGGTCAACAGAATGCTGCAGTTTTCTGGGTTCTAGCCAGCCAGCCAGAAAACTGGATGGTTAAATAGTGCTGTTAGGTTAAGCAGAATCCCCGTGACGGGGTGAGCTCCCGTTGCTCAGTCCCTGCTCCTGCTTACCTAGTAGTTCGAAAGCACGTCAAAGTTCAATTAGATAAATAGGCACTGCTCCGGTGGGAAGGTAAACGGCATTTCCGTGTGCTGCTCTGGTTCGCCAGAAGCG